AGATGTGTTAAGAAAAAAATATATAAATAGGGTGAAGTGTATGCTTTGAGAAGTGTCTCAACCAAACTGAGGCGCATGTCTAATAAAAAAAGCTCGAGGCATAAGCGTTGTGGTATTTTACATCAGAATTGCGCTGAGGCGGGCCTCAAGGAAGCCTCATATTACACAATTTTAAATAATTACTTAATTTTAAACACTGTCATTGTCAGGTCCCATGTCCTGGATGAGAAAAGTGGAAGGTTGCATCAGGTTGTTGACAACCAGTGTAAAACTTGTCGAATAATCATGACATGAATCTTTTAATACATTGTGTTAATGCTAGGACATTCCCTGGAAGCGATGCGTTGTATCGTCTGAATACAACAACAAATATGCAAGGGTCGCTATAATGCGCCTGGGTATAGTGTTAAATAGGCAATGATTCCTCCATCATGGATAGGTGTGGGCAAAGAATCTAGTCCATGAAACTAAAATTAAGATATAAAATTGAACTATTATGAAAATTAATGAAATTAATAGATATTATGATTCATAGGAAATTAAATATTCTATGCATTCATGAAACTTAATGAGTTGGAGAGAAGGCTAAGGAAGTTGATAATTTAGGATTTAAACTATATTATTCTAGTATGAGTCATACTAAAAATGATGTAGGTGTCATTATAGATAAGAGTTTCAAGGATAATGTTGTAAAAATTAATAGAATAATAGATAGAATTAGAGCTTTAAAGATTGTTGTTGATGCTAAGATTACTAATATTATAAGCACTTATGCTCCTCAAATAGGTTTGAATATCTGTTTAAAATTAAAATTTTAGAATGATCTAAAATAATTAATACAAAAGATACTTCTCGAAGAAAGAGTTTTTATTGGAAGAAATTTAAATGGACATTTTGGTAAAGTGGTAGATGATTTTAAAAGCATTCATAGTGGCTATGAGTTTGAAACCACAATTAAAGGTGGTAAGATCATATTAGATTTTTCTTTAGCTCATGATTTTATAATTGCTAATATCTTATTTAAGAAAAAAGATGAGCATCTCATCACTTATAAGAATGGATATAGTAAAACTCAGATTGATTATTTTCTTATAAAAATATATCATTTAAATTGCAAAGATTGTAAAATTATTCCGGGTAAAAGTTTCTGTACCCAACATCACTTATTAGTTTTCTACTTAAAGATGAAAGGGACAGAAAACAAAAAAAAAATAAAGTAAATCGTTGTTCTAGGATTAGGAGGTATTTGAAGAATAATAATAAAAATATTTTTAAGAGTAATATTCTAACAAATAAAGATCCGAGCGAGTAAGCCAAAGCCAATAAAGAGCAGAGCGCGGAGCCCCTAGTCTAAGCGAGGCTGCAGATGTGAATCCAAAAGTATGGTCGTAAGTGCTTTCTCAGGAAAACCAGTATTTGAGAAAGTTAATATTATGTTGGAAAAAATAGCTAGTGATATTAAGAATATCGAAAAGATGTGTTTGGAGTATCAAATGGAAAAGTTACTAATAATAAAAATAGTTGGTGGTGGAATAAAAATGTGCGAAAAAATATAACAAATAAGAAAATTTGTTATAAAAATTGGTTTAGCCATAAAAATTCTGATAATTGGGAAAGATATAAAGAGGCTTGTAAAGAGTCTAAGAAAGCAATATGCGATGCAAAGATTTAAGCTTTTAATGATTTATATAATAGATTAAATGCTAAGAAGGGGCAAAAGCTATATGTATAAGTTAGCTAAACAAAGAGATAAGAATTGTAAGGATTTAGTTCAAGCAAAGTGTATTAAGGATGAAGATAAAAAAATATTTTTATTAGAAAAGGATATTCAACAAAGTTGGATGAAATATTTTGCTAAATTTTTTAATGAAGATTGTGAGAATGCAATTGACTTTAGTGACCTTAACAACCTAAATGAAAATGATTTTTTTTTTATTTTCATCGGCGTATTAGTAAAACCGAAGTTAAAGAGGATTTAAAAAAATTAAGTATGAAAAAGCTATTGGACCTAATGAAATTCTAATAGAGGTGTGAAAATGCTTAGGGGATGAAGGAAATTCTTGGCTTACTAAGCTTTTCAATATTATTTTGAAGACTAAAAATATACCATATGAGTGGAGAATGAGTGTGTTGATCCCTATTTTTAAGAATAAAGGTGACGGACAAGATTGTGTGAATTATAGAGAAATTAAGTTAATGTGTCATACTTTAAAATAATGGGAGAGAGTTATAGAGCATATGTTGCAGCGTGAGACTAATGTTTCTCAAAATCAATTTGGATTCATGCCAAGTAAGTCTACTACATAAGCTATATATTTATTGAAAGGTTCGATGGAGAATTATAGAAATAATGAGGATGTACATATGATTTTTAATGATTAATTAAAAACATATAATAAAGTTTCAAGAGAAGTGGTATGGAGAGTTCTACATAAGAAAGGGGTTAATAATGCTTAATTCAAGTCCTTAATGATATGTATGCAAGAGTTGTTACTTGTGTTCAAACACAAGATGGTCTGACCAAGTATTTTACTATTTTATTTGGATTACATTAAGGATCAACTTTAAGCACATAACTTTTTGCTTTAGTCATAAATGTTCTCACTAGACATTTGCAAGAGGTTGTACCCAGGTGGTATGCTTTTTGCTAATGATATTCTTCTTGTTGATAAGACTAGACTGGGAGTCGAATGTAAACTTGAATTATGAAGGTCAACCATAGAGTCTAAAGGCTTTCATTTCAGTATATCTAAAACTGAATATATGAAGTATAATTTTAGTAATGATAGATCTAGTGGGGGGATTGTGACTTTGGATGATCAAGTCATTAATAAGAGTATACATTTAGATATCTTGGATCAATTATTCAGAGTGATGGTGAAATAGATTGCGATATTATTAGTAGAATTCAAGTTGGATGATTGAAGTTGAGGAATGCATCGGGCTTGTTGTGTGATAGTAAAGTCCCTCTCAAGCTTAAGAGAAAATTCTATAAGATGGTAGTGAGACCCGCAATGTTTTATGGTGTTAAATGTTGCATTAAAAGAGAAGCATAATATTAAGTTAAGTGTTGCAATGATAAGATTTGAGTGAGTTTCCTTAGATGGTTTGGTCACATAAAACGATGACCTTCCAATGACTAGGTTAGAAAAGTAGATATATTAAATTTGACTTATAGTAAGAAAGGTAGAGGTATACCTAAAATGACTTGGTTAGAAAATATTAGAAATGACCTTTTTTATTAGATTTAGATGAGAATTTGACTCTTAACAAGACACAATGGAGAAAAAGGATTCATGTAGCTGATCTTATATAGTGGGATAAAGGCTTGTTGTTGTTGTTATTGTTGTTGCTGCTTAATTTATTCCTTATCTAATTAAAAAATCTCATATAGGAATTTCTCTCTTTTTATAAATTTGATGTAAAATCATAATATAATTACTATTATTTTCTATAATAAATTTTCATTATTTACTAATTCCTAAATAAATCCTTATTTACAAAAAAATAATCTTATCTTACCCTAATCGTGCTAAGCCCATGCCCATGCTAGACTCTTCCACGCCCGCTGCTCAAGCTCGGTCACTCTCTCCGATTTCCTTCTTCTTCCGCTATCTCTTTCTCTTTATCTCTTGGTTTCCCTCGCTTTCCTCTCTCTCTCTCTCTCTCTCTCTCTCTCTCTCTCTCTTATTTATAGGGATCAAATCCCTACGATTCCAAACAACGGAATCGATCGAACCCTTCATCTTTATTGTGCTATTATGAGACTCACCTTCTCAATAAAGAACGAAACAAACTCCCTTCCTCTTCCTGTACACAGGCAGCGTCGAACACTCCTCGTCCTCTTCCGCTTCATGAGATCAAGACTTTTCTCTTGTTCGGCTTCTGGGATTCTGGGCGACCTAAATGGTGTTGATTGAGCATTGTTTATCCCTTTCATCTTCTAACCTATGAGTAACGGAAGCGATTCCTTTACCTTCTTCGTCTTCCTCTTGTTTCCGTTGACTCCAGGGTAAGGAAATCGACATTTTTCAGTTCGGATATTATAGTTTGGGCTCTCAATTAATGTTCATATATTTTTAAATATATTTCATCTAATTGATTGAAGCTTATTTGAAGTTAGATCAGATCATTTGTGGTGTCGATGGATTCATCTTGTCATGACATTCAGTTTGACTATAAATTTGCTCAAAACCGCATGCCAGCGGTCCTGAATTCAATTTTGCAAGCTTCCAATTCAAATATTGCCTCAAGATTTGTGTCGATCGAGCAAAATTTTTTTTTTGTGACGTATCAATTACTATCTTATAATTATTTTCTGAGGATAGAAATATTTGAATTTACCAATCTTTATTTTTAATTTTTTTTCCCAAATCTCAATAGATATCTCCACCTAACCCTTACATGGTTTCACAAAGAAACACCTAAATCAACAAAAAGAAATGCAAAACAAAAATAAAATTATAAAGTAGGTTTTAAATTAAGGTTTTTTTTGGACGGCTTTCTTACTGCTTCTTAAAGCAGCTTTTAAGTACCAAATTAAAATTTTTATACTAGAAAGTTGTTCTAAACGAAGCCTGATCTTAAGTGTGATATACAACCCAAAGGATGCAAATAAAATGAATAAAATGAGAAATCAATTATGCAAGAGTTTAGTTTAATTCTTGCCATTAAATTACAGAGTAACCGGTTCATAATATAAGAAAGCCCAAGAAGAACAACAACAGAAGGTTAGCTACAAATTAGAAACTAAAAGAGACCACAGTTGGAAATTTCAAAACAGTGACCAAGGAGAAAATACTAGGATTATACAGCGTATTCATAATGAAATTAAATAATTCAAAGGTTAAGTAGATAATATGATGACAAAATATGTAGAAAGATAGCCGTATCAAATGAATAGCTATATGAGAAAGATAAACGTCATCAGAGAATAAAGTTAATCAAGTAAAATTAACTGGTTTAATCACCAATGTGCAAAGTACAAATAAAAAAAGAACCTGTTGATACGCCAATATTGCATCTTCACTGTGGACACTGTTTGCTTGAGTTGCACCAAGTTTGTTCCAGAGAGAGTAGTCATGTGGCTTGAGTTTCAGTGCCGTTTCAAATGATTGTATAGCTTTATCATACTCCCTTGATACATTGTACATCACACCAAGAACTATATGTACATCAGCATCCTCAGGTGACAACTGAGCAGCTTCATTGAACAATCTTGCGATCTGGAAATATTGAATATTTAATCAGTATACCGGTGACTTGGGAAATTCAAATTAAAAAGCTCTTGCTAGCTGTATTAGTTCTTGAATGAAAGGCAACAATCATTTCATTTATGTTGTTCGAGAACATCATTTTTTTTTAACACAAGGACCCTTGTAACACTTGTTATGTGTATCTGGAAAGAAATTAGAATTAAAATTGTCATTGAATGTAAATAAACTAAAGGCTAACTGAATATGAATAAGAGTTGTTCCACACTAGCATGAGGAAACATAACTCATATGATAAATACCTCATGTTACTTTGCAAGCCTAACAGCAAGAAATCAGAAAAACTTCAATATCATTTCCTTGGGTACTTACATCAGTATGAAAAAGAGAACTAGACTGTTCTGGGGGAGCAAGAGTTCTATATTTGGGATGATTTTGAAGCCATTTGTACAGATACCTAAGAGCTTCCGCTTGCTCTAATTCTGAAATTTGTAGAATACAAAAACAGAGAAAGGTCAGATCCTCAATATTAGAGCAAAGATATGCAATTTGAAAACTCAAACTAACATAATAAAATGCTGTTGATATAATATATGAATTCTAGCATATCTAATTTTTTTAGAAAATGAATTAGTATTATTTTTTATCATAATATTTCCTCATTATTGAAAATATTCTTCTTTATCCTATGTTTCTTAAATATATCCTTCTATTGCCTCTATATATAGGCACATGTATGCTTATAGACTTATAGACTTATACTATAAAAATCATTCAGTAAATATGTGGATCTTTCTAATTCTGTCAATTCTAACATGTTGTTAGAGCCTATCGCACCCTGTATGCCTCATCATTGCCTTTCAATTGACTTTCTGATTTCCTTGCTTAATATAGCCTGCTGGCATCCTCCTACTTGATCATCACAGATTTTCTCCTTGTTGATCTACAAGTTGTTGTCTTCCATAAAGAAATGGTAGTGGAGCTAATTGTACCACCGTAACCGCAAGCATTTCAAAGGCAGCCATTATTATAGTCATCTGTTCTTTCAGACCACAGCAACCTTCAATCCATAATATCTCCTCATAATCATAGATTTAGGATCCATATAACCACAAAGGGCATCATTCACAATCCCTAATTTTACCATGACAAGCTTTCCTACGTGCTGGAAGTAGTATCTAATACCAAAATACATAATCCGAAAATGGGGCGCAGAATTATCTGGAACAAAGGAATTGGACTTTCTATGTAATGCATTGGGAATGAGTTTTGCCTTGAACAGAAATTCATTATTAACAACAAAATAGAAAAGAGGACAACAAGTGGTTAATATTGGCGTCCTTTAAAAGGGCTATACTTAGAGCCTATAAAAGTAGAACCACTTGAATGAGCTGAGGGTGGTTGTAAACAGCTATGAAAAGTGAGAGAAAAGAGGTTGTGATTCCCTGATGTGCTGAAACCAGAAAACAAACAGGGAGAGAGATAGTTGAATGACATTGGATGAGAGATAAAATGACATCGAGCAAGAAAGACTCACTTCTTTTGGTTTAATTTTAAAATTAGAATCCTAAAGACCTCTATTTATTGAAAAACAACAGTCAATTCATGTTGATCCATAAAGCATCAATTTAGGAAACATTATCCGAAATTTCCTAAATCATTTCAAATTATGGCCAACCATCTCTTAAAAATAGCTAACTACTCAGATTCTTTCCTTAAAACTAGTAGATTGTTAGGATAAGTATATTTAGTCACTCATTCATTTTTATAATATAAGCTATATATATATATATACACACACATAACTAGCAGCATTGATACAAAAGAATCATGAGCTACTTCTGCCTCATACAGAGATGCAAGGAGTGGACTCCCACGGAGAAGAGTCAAATACAAGAAGAGGGAAATAAAAGAAGTGAGAGTGAGTAGGATTGAGACTAAGAGAGAGCACCAAAAGGAAAGTGCGAAAGAAAGGTGGTTGAGGAAGATCTGTGAAACCATTCCGAACAGGACACCGATTGAATTGCGCTAGATTCAATTTTAATTAGAACTATTTTATGTTTGAAATGAAAATGCATATTATTCCAAAGGTCTTATATTGCTGTAATTTAGAAGCATGATATACTCACTGAGTTGTGACTCACTTTTTGTGCGCAAAAACATTCAAAAGTATTATTTGATAAGCTAAAATGAGTAGAAGATGTGATGTATCGTAGGCATGACGCTCACAGAGAAAAGTATTTATAACATTTTATTTTAAATTTTTGAGGTTTTAATGGCTCATTCTCTGTATAGGAAATAGATTGTTAGTAAACGAAAATTTAATTAATTGTCCGGCCATCTGTTCCTGCCTTATTAATTTGAAACTCCGGAACGAGTCGTGAAATGAATGATAGACTTAAATTAAGAGAAGAAAAATATTTAATTATTTCTTTTCTCCTTCCTTCGCAATCTGCTCCCACTTCGTTAATTCAAGCCTCCAGGTTGGGTCCTAACATGTATAATAGGCATAAATTAAGAGAAGAGAAATATTTAATTATTCATTTTCTCCTTCGCAAGTAAAAAAAAAATTAATTGTTTTGACTAATATAAATTAAATTAGAAACTATAAATGCATATTATTTTTATTCTTGAAATTGCTATAATATAGAATTGTAATTACCTATTAAATTGTTGTATGACTCAATCTATTAGTTGATATTCATTTTCAGGAAAGACTTCTTTGAATTAAATAGAGAAGAATTTATATAAAGAAGAAGAGAAAATGAGAATAGATATTAAAAAATATTTATATTGTGTTTAATTATTTTGTTTGAGATGCATGAAACAAAACTGATTTATGTATAATTAAAATATGAACAAAACTTTATTTGTTTGTGGTAATTTATAATTTAGAATATGTTATTATTGAATTATTTAGAATGGTAATAGAAAAGAATTAAACTACCATCAGAATGACCTGCCCAACCAACTACTCCTGTCTTGGTATTCCAAACTCTCAGGCTGGTCTGTGACATTTGCAATTTTAACCTTCCAAGAGTAATTTTGCAAATATTCTTGAGCCTTCTTGATCACATAAAAACCTCTCAAATGTTTGTGCTTATAAACTCAAAATGTACCAAGCCAGAATACACTAACCAGACGTGTAGTCTTAAACCTATATTGTTGTCAACTCAAAGAAACCAAAACAAGGTCCACGACCAATTTTAAAACCTCAGTTATGCTTATCAGTACATGCTGAATAACTTTTCTCCAAATATTTCTCCATATTACAAGCAGAGATTTTTTTTTACTGGTCACCAACAATGCCAAAAGCATAATTGACTAAATTACAATGCAGAAACCATTCTTACTCGCTAAAATGACTCCATAGGATAAGCATATAAAACAAAGCAAACTAAAGTCCTATCTCTGGGTGCATGGCTTTTTAAGTGCAGTGAAGTATGCACCACATGTTGCACTCGACTAAACAAAATACCACCTAGAGAAATTACTTTAATGAAATTAATGGCCACTCCCCCCAATAACAATCCAAGAAAACACAGAAATAATGTGTTCTGAACATATGCCATCAGAAGTCTTCAGAAGTTGTACATAGACATGATTTTTCCAGTTCAATATCCTAATCTTAATGGTTAATCTGGAAGTTTCATGATATGTTAAGGCGTCCATTTGGGAATCCCAACTAGAGGACAGACCATCAGAAATCACCTTAAGGCTCTTATGATGTTTCACAATAAAATTCTGTCCAACAAAGGTCTGTTAGATGCCCTAAAATCTTGAATCTCAAAATATTTCACAAAACTGAATGACATCAATTAACTACGAGATGACATGCTCGAAAATATAGCTGCCATATATGATCAAAATATAAGTTATTCCCAATGATTGTTGGGCAGACTTGAGTTATAACCTGTTAATACCTAACTCATCATTTAAGTGAATCTAGTCAAATGAACTCAGTTAACAAAGATACTTTCTTTTTGGGGAAGCATGTTTGAGTGGCTTTAAACTTAGAGACAATGAGAAATAAGTATATATGTGAAAAGGTTGGAGTTGCTCCAGTGGAAGATAAAATTAGAGAGTCGCCATAGATGATATGGTCACATAAAACGTCGGGCCTTCCGATGACTAGTTAGGAGAGTAGATACATTAAATCTAATCTATGTTAAGAAAGATAGAGATAGACCTAATGATGCAGGCAAAAATTCCGGGGATGGGGGGACCGAGGACCTCAGCCCACAAAGAGTAACGAAAATAAGAAACTCCTACGTAATAAGACGAACAAACTCTTACATTTCAAATCAAAAACAGACTTAGAAATTAAAAAAAAACAAAACTTACAACACAGATTAAAATTAAACGACTTACAAACTTGAATATAATAGTAAGACACCCTAAACTTGCTTCACTTAGAGACGAAGGATACAGATGGGGTGGTCACTTGCGGAGAGACGAAAGAGGTTAGAAGCCAAGAAGAAGGGTGGAAAGAGCTCGCAAGATTTCCAAAGGAGGTGAAAGAAGAAGGTGGACAAAGCTCGCAAGCTTCTCCAAGAAAAGCTGCAGATTTCTTTTCAAAAATTCATATATCACTTTTTCAAAACATTACATAACCCCTCATATTTATAGGTATGAAAACGGGAATACAAACGGACACAACATTTAATTCCCATAGGAATCCAAACAACACAAGCCATGGAAAAGCCCCCTTGCTTTTCACGGAAAAACAACCCAGCTAGGGAACCGAGGAAACAGCCACGGGAACCCAAGAGGCCGCACAGAACTGAGGCGCCAAAAGCCACGGGAAGGCCCCCAGTTCGGAAAACCAGCAGCCACCGTGAGAACCAAGGAGCCATGCACGGAAAACAGCAGCCAACTGTGGAGGCCAAGGAGCAACGGCATGGGAGAACAAACTTCCTTGGGATTCCAAAAGCCATTTTGGAATCCCAAGGGACAACTTAAATTAAGACATAAAAAACAATAATAAAATAACATTAATTAAAAGATAACTATGAACAAAAACTTAGCTAATAATGAGCTAACCCTTAGATCAATAAATGAACTAAAGACCAACTCATAAATGAGCTAAATTCCAACTCAAATTTCATTAAGCTTGTAAGCTTAAGGGAAGTCAAATCCAACTTATTTTGGGTTTGAATTGACCCCCCCTTGCCTACATCAGACTCCCCTTCTTGAGAACTCATCTCCCAATGTTAGCTTTTAATTCTTCTAAGGAGGTGAAGATGGTGCATTCAATTCATTGATCAAATCTTTATATTTCTGCATGATCTCATCTCGTTCTCTCAGGAATTTATCTTGTAAACGCTGCTTTTTCTTCATATACCTTTCTGTACGTAGGTGCATCCATGATTGAAGTTTGTACAATTCATACTCCAGAGGATTTGTTCAGTTAGATGGAATCCACTATCCTTGGACTTCCTAACTTGCTTTGATACCAAACGATGTGGGCAAAAATTCGGGGGATGGGGGGACCCTAGGACCTCAGCCCACAAAGAGTAACGAAAATAAGAAACTCCTACGTAATAAGACGAACAAAATCTTACATTTCAAATCTAAAACAAACTTAGAAATTAAAAAAAACAAAACTTACAACACAGATTAAAATTAAAGGACTTACAAACTTGAATCTAATAGTAAGACACCCTAAACTTGCTTCACTTAGAGACGAAGGATACAGATGTGGTGGTCACTTGCGGAGAGACAAAAGAGGTTAGAAGCTAAGAAGAAGGGTGGAAAGAGCTTGCAAGATTTCCAAAGGAGGTGGAAGAAGAAGGTGGACAAAGCTCGCAAGCTTCTCCAAGAAAAGCCGCAAATTTCTTTTCAAAAATTCATATATCACTCTTTCAAAACATTACATAACCCCTCATATTTATAGGTATGAAAGGGGGAATACAAACGGACACAACATTTAATTCCCATAGGAATCCAAACAACACAAGCCATGGAAAAGCCCCCTTGCTTTTCACGGAAAAACAGCCCAGCCAGGGAACCGAGGAAACAGCCACGGGAAACCAAGAGGCCGCACGGAACCGAGGCGCCAAAACCACGGGAAGGCCCCCAGTTCAAAAACCAGCAGTCACCGTGGGAACCAAGGAGCCATTCACGAAAAACAGCAGCCAACCGTGGAAGCCAAGGAGCCACGGCATGGGAGAACAAACTTCCTTGGGATTCCAAAAGCCATTTTGGAATCCCAAGGGACAACTTAAATTAAGACATAAAAAACAATAATAAAATAACATTAATTAAAAGACAACTATGAACTAAAACTTAGCTAATAATGAGCAAATCCATAGATCAATAAATGAACTAAAGACCAACTCATAAATGAGCCAGCTCAAATTTGTAAGCTTAAGGGAAGTTAAATCCAACTTATTTTGAGTTTGAGTTGACCCCCCCCTGCCTACATCACCTAAAAAAGGAGAAAAATTATTCATGTAGATGACCCCATGTAGTGGGTTAAAGGTTTGATGTTGTTTTTATTGTTGTTGTTGTTGTCGTTGTTGGGGAAGCATGTTTGAGCATATTTTTCTCAATATTCCTAAATATCAATCTTCATGGCAAATTTGAGAGCTGTATTGTACAGCTTCTTATGCACCCAACATCACAATGTTTGTCATTCTGTAATGCCAAATAACCAACCAAAATAGTAGACTCTTAAATTTTGGAAGAAAATTTAAGGAAATAAAAATCAAAATTGGCTTAGGAGAATCCCCGAGGCGTTGAAAACACAACAAAAGTTTTTAGAATGCAACATAACAGAAATGATTATTGAATACCAAACGTAGAAAAGATGAAAATTTAAGGCAATTACTTGCAGAAATGTATGGTTTTACAAAATACTGTGATTCCTTGCATAAGACAACAATCAAGCAGAGAAGCATGTCATATTTACAAATGAGTAAGAAAAAGAGCAGTCACCGAAACTTTAGACATACTAATCTGTAATGGAGACCAAAGAATGAAATACCATACTAATAGGCAGTCTAGTGGAAGTAAAGCAAACTCTTCAAGCTGATAACATAAATATCAAAATGATTGGATGAAGGGTGGTACTTGCCATTAGTATAACTGACGCCGAGAGCAAGAAGTACTTCAAGATTTGTTGGATCAACTTCTTGTGCACGCATCATGGACGCAATAGCCTGTTAAATGACCGGAATATGCCATAATCTTCCAAAAAAAAAAAAGAAAAGCTAAAATACACCAAAATATACCGCCAAAAGTTTTGATATTAAGAATAAGTTCATCCAAAATTTCCATCTAAACTCCAAATAGAAAGTACTTAACCTGCTGATCATCGTCATTTTCTGCATGAGTAATTCCAAGAAATCTCCAACCTTCAGCATTGTCAGGGTTCTTTAGTACTTCAGCCTCCAATGCAAGTACAGCTTCACTTAAAAGCCCCTTGCGGAAGAGTTCTTGGCCCTCTTTTAAAGGGTTAGGGTGACCAACATAAGGATTTATATCGGAAAACACATACACCCCTCTTGAAGCACTTGATTTTTGTTTGAAAGCTAGTTGTTCATCAAGGTAACTGTATATAGAAGATTATAAGTTCACTAAAATAAAAGCTTTTTCCATACAAAAAACATAGAACCAAAATAAATTTGTTTAATTAAACAGAATCTTGCAGTAAATTAATGCCCGTTTGACACAATCAGCACTTCTACTTTCTTAGGTGTGGGTGAAGCTGAGAAAGCAGCTTTGGTAGGCATGTGGCAGCAAAAACTGCCTGCATGCAATGAGCCAAGATGTATAGGCGTGGCAGCTGCCAAAGCACTATCCTGCAGCCCGACTGTGAAACCAAATAAGGCCTAAAAAGGCAGTTTTTAATTTTTTTAAATTTTATAAAATCAAATACTCAAATATAATTCTGCACTGATGCTGAATGGTCACAAACCAGTGAATAAGCAAATCAAAATTCTCATGATAGTAAAAGTTTCATACATATTTTCTGTATCTGATTAAATAAGAGGCTTACTCATCATAAGCATCTGCCCATCTGTCAGCAGCACTTTCGTCAAAAGCTCTTTCAGCAACCTGCTGCCCAAATTCTTCTCCCCAATCCTGAACATGCAGTTTGGAGAACTCGTTGACCCACTGATCATCAACTTCCTCCTTCTGATGCTCTTTAGCAAACTCATTAATCCAATTATTTGTTCCCTGCGGAAGCTGAGAACCAAAACTTGGTCAATTTTGTACTTCTAATGACAATTTATAGTGAGTCCATTTAGTCATACCTTAAGCAATCCAAATGAAAATCAATTGTATTTTAAATGATTTCAGGATATAAAAATAAAGCATGCAAAAGAATTGCCTGTTCCCGGACAAACTGATCAGCCCACGGGCTAGAACTTTGGTTGTACTGCATCTGAAATTCATTGGCCCAATCACCTGAGACACTCTGAGTAGCTGGTTTGATTTGATTTTCATCAACTATCAGCTCACCTCGACTCATCTTTGATACAAACTGAAGGAACTTTGAGTTCTGTACAATACAAAATATGGTTAAATCATTTGCATCAATCCTCATTATCCAAAGCTAACAAAACAAATACCCAATATGTCTTCGTGCTCATAGAAGTTATAGGGATATTTATAATAGTAGAAAAGAAGAAGCATATAAGCAAAATTGCATAGCCCAAACAAAGAATCTCAATGTAGAGCATCAGATTAGTGCATGAATCACCAAATACAGTCAATAAAGCTATTCTGAAGTCTTTACACTTTACAGTTTCTAGGCATACCAGGTCTGCTTAAAAAAGCAGATGTTGGTCATCAAATAGGATGAAACCCCTGCTTTTACAAGTTCAACTAGGACAGTAGTTTGAAGCGCCATTGTCTGATAACTGAACGGTTGCTCATTCTAAGAACTAAAAACCTAACAACTGGTTATTCTAATAAATGATCCCTGAGCATTTCAACATGCGCACAGTGTTCAGACATCTTTTGAGCAAGATTTCAAAATAAAAACAAAGTAATAGAATCACAAAAGAACGCAACATGAACATTATCATCATAAATGACATTCTATTCCGTGCATCAAGGTAACAAATGAAAAAGCGACCACTAGCAAAAAGAGCCCTCAAGGGTCACATAGTGCTCAATTCAATGATGAAATATTACTTACCACATCACTTGGTATCCAATTCATAAAAAAGACAACTATGAACAGAATGCACCTAAAAAAATGAATAAAGACTGTTTAGACTGGAAGAAGAGTACAAGCTCACTCAATCATGGAGCAATCCACCAATTCCAACAAAAGTAAAAAGTTATCTCGAAAGGAACATGAAAAGATTGGTCAATATCAGTTCCTAAATAAAAGGAAATAAAATGCTTGGATTTTCAATTAGATGAAGAATAAACATGCCCAATGAAGAATGACCTTCATGGACAAGCTATGCAAATCTGACTCTAACCTGATGATTAATCTCCAGAAATAAAAGGTCTAACCAAGTTCTAGAAATCTTCATTTTCAAGCATAGGCAACAAGCAAATAGTAATTATATATATATATTTTTTTTATCAGCACGGTACATCAAAACAAAGAATGGATGGTTTTCTCCTCCAAAAAATTATCATTAGGCATTTCCTTCAATGTAAGAAATACTTAATAATAAATATATCAAACAGATAGAACTATAACACGTCCTGATAGTATGATAGTCTTAAACGGTGAAAAATGTTTCATAATAAATGCACCAAATATATAGAGTTACAACATGTCATGATATGACTAAAGGATGAACTATTGATTGTTTTGTTAAAGAGTGCCCTGTTATGGTAACTGTATGGGGGCCCAATGAGAGGTGGCCAAAATTAGATCTATCAATTGTCAGATGGGCCAACCCTCACCCAGACTGAATTCAAATAGTTTCAAATAAGATTCAATTTGGTTCAGATTAAAGTAGACCTGTGATAGACCAGTCCAACCGGTCCATACGGGACCGGCTTATGGATATAGAGGTGGAATTATCCGCCTCCTACATATGGCGAGCAAACTGCTAGGTTCCAAAGAGCTTTTTAGGAAGGTTTTTTTAGGGAGTTGGGAGGGAAAATTGAATATAGGGATTGTTAAGGGATTTTCTTTTGACTTGTATGCATTAAATAATTTGTTTTCCTAAGATTATGGCATTTTGAATTTGGCTGAAATTTGAGATCTCTCAAGTTTTGGTTTTGAGCTCTATCAGCGTCTAGAGATTTGGGAGAGATAGATCCTCCTCTCGAATAGAGGATCAATTGTATCTTGATATTTTCCGTTTCCCTTTTATCAAATAATACAAATTATCTACTGTTTTCATGATTTTGTGTGGATTTCTGTGGAGAATTCTCGCTGTTTTCCGAGGATTGATAAGAAATAGTTGAGATCTACAAGTGTTTCCTATCAAATTGGTATCAGAGCAGATTTTGGGACCATCGTGGGATGGTTTTCTGAAATTTCAGCGGCAGTTTTTGATGTTAAACATATAAGGAAACAGGAATTGCTTAGGAATTAATAAAAAGTTGTTAAGCTTTGCTAAATTTAAAGTCAATGTTTCACCAAGATAAGAATCTAGGATTTCTTAGTTGCAATTGTGCTTTGGTATGCAGTTACAAGAAAGGTTAATAAGACAAATTAAAATAAGAACAAAAATGTAGAAACACTAGATGTCAAAAGTAACAAAATCCACCGTTTAACAAATAGAAGGTTCACCTCGAGTTCCCCTCACTTTCACACTTGATGGTGGGGTCAACGGGAGAATAATTTCAGAAAGACTAGAGATGCCACCGAAAAAAAGAGAACGCATGTAGTCTTGCTCAACGAAAAGTTTGTCGGAGGGGGAGAAGTTGGTGGATGTCTGATGATTCGCCAATGTTCAGAGGGTTGGTGTTCTTCAATAGCAGATGTCAATGTGAATAGGATGCGGTCGACGTAGTCGTCAACGGTGTCGTCGTTCTCCAAGTTGAGGTTGAAGAAGGGAGACCGGAGAATCTCCACTCGTCCTTGAGGATCATACACGAAGTCGTGGTTAGGATCGACCATTCATGGAGAGGAGGCCAGTTTGCGAAGCTTAACCCTTGGAGGTGTATGAAGTAGTGGAGAAGAGAAGGAAAGAGGGAAGTGGAGAGTGGGGAATTTCGGTAGGGTTAAAGGATGAGATCCCTTGGGTTTTGGCTTTTAGTTTAGGTGGAGGGAAAAGAATCAATTAGAATAATTTCAGATTTTTGTAAGTGGAAAGTGAGGGAATATTTGAAATTCAAATCTCCCTTAATGGGGAATTAATTAGGCGGGATTGGAGAGAGGGTCCGGCGGTTTAAGGGATTTAATTAATAGAGAGGGGATTTAATTGGAGAGAGAAAATGAAAGGGAGAGGGGAAAGAAGGTGTCCACATTCGATGTATGTGACTTGCATTAATTGTTGATTAGAGAATCAAATCTTAATTAAGTTCAAATTTTAAGTGATTAAAGGATCTCCAAAATAGGTGTAGGCTATTTAGGAAGGAATTTAAAATTCAAATTCAATTGAATTTAAATTAAGAAACTTTCCAAACATGAGTTTGGTTAAATTAGAAAAGTATTGAAGTTGTAATTGAAGGGAAATCAAGGGGGTGGGGGATGGGTAGGTCGGCGGCTAGGGGAAGTTGGCTAGGCCAGCGGCTAGGGGAAACAGGGTGGGTCTTGGGTTCGGTGGGGAGGTCTTGGCGGTGGAGCTTGGGCCGTGGGGTGGATGGGAGAAGGGGGAGATGGCTATGGAGGAGATGGAGGGGAATTTGACTAGCGGTTTGGGGGTGGGGATGGGAGGAGGCTGACGGGAAGGGGAGAAAGGGTGGGTTGGCCGGTGGTGGGGACAGAGGAAGGGGAAAGAAAATAAAAAAGAATACGAACTGCGAGCCCGGCCTCTACTGGTGGCTGACGGGTGATGGTTGGCCCTCTCTTAGGGTTATCTGTTCTCTCAAGAGCTCACAAGAAAACCAGGAACCAAAAGTTGAAATTTTGTTATTAATCAATAATTAACCCTAATACAATGACTAAGGCCTTAATACATAGGACTCCAAAATAAAGAAAATAAAATGAATCAAATGCCCTCAGGGCTACAATATAAAAGAAACCCCTCACAGGGATACAATGGTAAAAACTGAAATAAAAATAAAGGAAATAAATAAATGCATCAAAAATAAATACTCTGAATCATAGCCGTCGATCTACGATTCCTCCAATGGTAGACGCGTCAAAATCTCCTACAGATGTCCTCATCAATTTTTGTGATCGAAAGACAGTTTCTTGTTGAATTTTGAATCAAGATACATAATTTTTTTATGGCGGCCAGGAAGGTTGACGCTTTGGAGGAATGCTTTGAAAGGGAGATGAGCAAATAAAAGCCATGGTGGAAGCTCTACCGAAGCCATCCCGCACAAGTCGAGCTGTTCATTCGCATGTCGCAAACACGACCGCGACGCTCCTCCCACGTCGCATGACTTCACGTTATTAAAAAGCCGAAGAGAAGAGGCCTTCCGCCTCTTTCTCTCGCTCCCGCTCTCTCCCATTCTTTCCCTCTCTCGGCGCTACTCTGCTTCGCTCCTGCGACTTCCCTTCCCTGTCTGAGCGAAAGTTACGACACTTTGGTTGGAGGCAATGATTGGAACTTGTTTGCTGTGACAGTAACTTTCTCCCTTCCGCCCCTTCTCTTCCGCCTCTTCCACTCCGTCCAGTCCCGTCGGCCTAGAGAGAGAGAGAGCTCCCTACCTCAAGGTTTAAAATTGCGCAAAAAAAGGCACGCCTCAGCGCAATATGGTCTCTTTAAGCCTCAATGCCCACGCAATAAGTTTAGGTTCTAAGGCTTACGCCTCAAGTTTACTGAGGCGCGCCATAAAAAAATTAACCTAAAGTTTTTTTTTTCAGTTCGGACCCCCAGTTGCCGACGTGGCGCGCCTAGTGAGATGTCGACGTGGCATCAACATTTAAACCCTGGTAAAGGTCGAATGGCAGAGGCGACGTTTTGATTTTCAAGTTCCAGCAAACATTCCAACTTTCGAGCATTCACTCCGGAGCAATTTCAAGCATTCTTCACTCAGTTCCTTCTCAGATGTCGTCACCCCCAAAGAGAAAGGTAACTTAATTCCATGTTTTCTGTTCCGTACTACGTATTTTATGGTTATGTTATGCGTTGGTGTTCAAGTTCTTCGTATTTTATGCTTACTCTATGCGTATGCAGTGCTTCTCGAAATTTTTTAAATGTTTGATACTTTGATGCCATTGTGTTTTCTCTATATTTAGGGTTTATAAGTTTATGTTTAAATTTGAAACATAAACCCTAACTAAATTTTAAGCACTGAGTAATCTATGCATATGTTGTGTGTACTCAATGCGTATTTTGTGCGTATTCTATGTGTATACTGTACGTGATCTTTGCTTATGTTGTGCGTACTTTATGCGTGCGTATAATTTGCTGCCATATTTTCTGCAATGTGCGTTCTTGTGCGTATGTGATGCTTATACTGTGCGTG